ACCACAGCTGAGTGTGTGCACACCACTAGCTCCAACCACCATCACTGGCTGACCTCATCCCTAGCTACTGGATCTGAAGGTGCTAACATATCAACAACGCTTGCAGTAACTGCAGATTGTTGCTTACATCGCCAACAACCACAGTCAATGCTGTGGACCCAAGTGGCATGAGCCAAAGAGACATTACAAACCCCCATTCTCTGCCAGACCCAGTGCTGCCACATGCCCCTGCATTTGGTACTCTGCACCACTAGACTCAAAGTCACAGCATAATCCAGTGTGCCCTTACAATAGGTGAAAGAATTCCCTTATTGGAATCAGTCTATAAAGTCTGGAAGAGGTACTACTTCTTCAAATGTGCAGACACAAAAGCAGGACACAGTGATTAGAAGAATCGAGAGATATTTCTCCACCAAAGGAATATAGTACATCTCCAGTAACTAGGCCAAAGAAACAGATTCAGAAATTGCCCGAATAAGAACTCGAAACAACTGTTCTACAGATAGTCAGAGAGCTACAAAAGAACAGATAAACAATTAAAATGATATAAAAAATACAAGAACAAACGAGAAGTTCAATAAGCAATAGAAAACACAAGAAAGAACTAACAAATTTTGGAGCTGAAGAATATATGACTGCAATGAAGTATTCAATCGAGTTTCAATAGCTGACTTGAACAAATTGAAAGTAGAATCACTGAGCTAGAATATAGATCAGCTGAAATTATCCAATCAGAAGAGCAAAAAGAAAAAGGAAGGAAGCCTACAGAAATTATGAGATATCATCATAAAAAAAGTAATAACATATATTATTTAAAGAAATAATAGCAAAGAACTTCCCAAACCTGGCGAAAGATTTGGACATCCAACATTATGAAGCAAATAGGTCACCTCAAATCTTCAATCAAAAACATTCTTCCTGCCCTAGCCAGTTTAGCTCAGTGGATAGAGCATCGGCCTGGGGACTGAAGGGTCCCGGGTCCAATTCTGGTCAAGGGCACATGCCCGGGTTCTGGGCCTGATCCCCAGTTGGGGGCATGCAGGAGGCAGCCAATCAATGATTCTCTCTCATCATTGATGTATCTCTCTCCCTCTCTCCCTTCCTCTCTGAAATCAATTTAAAAAAATACACACAGCCCTAGCCGCTTTGGCTCAGTGGATGGAGCTTCGGCCTGCGAACTGAAGGGTCCTGGGTTCGATTCTGGTCAGGGGCACATGCCCAGGTTGTGGGCTTGATCCCCAGTGGGGGACTTGCAGGAGGCAGCCGATCCATGATTCTCTCTCATCATGGATGTTTCTATCTCTCTCTCCCTCTTCCTTCCTCTCTGAAATCAATAAAAATATAAAAAAAAAACCAAAACAACCACACACAAAAACTTCCTCATGACCTGGCCAGTGTTGTTCAGTGGTTAGAGTGCCGCCCCATGCAATGAAGGGTCGTGGGTTCAATTCCAGTCAAGGGCACGAACCTGTGTTGCAGGTTTGTTTGGGGCAAGTTCAGGAGGCAACTAATAGATGTGTCTCTCTCACATTGGTGTTTCTATTTCTTCCTCCCTCTCTCCTCCCTTCCACTCTCTAAAAATCAATGAAAAAAAATCCTTGCATGAGGATTAGCAAAACAAACAAACAAACAAACATTATTCTCCAAGATACATAAGAACAAAACTCTCTGAACCAAAACTAAAGAGAGAATTTTAAAGCAAGAGAAAAAATAATTCTCTCCAAAGGAAACCCCAATAAGGCTATCAGTGTATTTCTCACCAGAGGCCTTATAGGCCAGGAGAATGGGATGTTATATAAGCACATAGTCAGATTCTGAACCCCTAATATAGTAAGTGATATGGGGCTCTATTAACTACCTAATTCTAGTATAAATGTTGAAGGAAAAAAAATATTAAAAATACTTTCAATAGTTTGTTAATGGATACACAATATAAAAAATGACTGAAAAACATAAAAGGGAAGTGGAATAAAAGGGTTGTTTTTTTATGTAATCAAAGTTGAATTGTTATTAGCATAAAATAGACTATTATATGTGTATGTTTTATGTAAATCTCATGGGAACTACAGGGCAAAATTGTTTTGTTTCTTGATTTATTTTTTTATTTAATTTCTACTCTGCCATCTGGATGGAAGCCCAGAGTGCTCTAAGACAGAGGGTGCCAACCGGTGGTCTGCGGACCACTGGTGGTCCGTGAGGTCCAAAAGGTTGGCGACCACTGCTCTAAGAGATAGAAAAGATAAAGAGAAGGGAATCAACACATATCATTATGGAAAACCATCAATTTACATAGGAAAGCAGTAAGAAAGAAAGAGGGTGGAAAAAAGAACTTCAAAACAACCAGAAAATAATTAAATAGCCTGAGAAAGTCCTTGCCTATCAATAATTAATCTAAATGCACAGAATTCTCCAATCAAAAGCTAAAGTGGATGGATGGAAGGATAAATAACAAGACCCAAATATAGGGTGTCCCAAAATTCACGCAAGATTTGAATTTTGCGTGAGCATTAACAACAACAACAAAAAATAAAAGCCTAATTTTACTTGGTTTATTGAATCAGATTCTAATATCTGTTGCCCTTTGATTTTAATTCCTTCAATTTGATAAGCATTACCAAGTACCAATTATGGCCCAGGAGCAGGGACAATGAAGACCACGGCTTTGCTTATGTGCCAGCAAAGCCGTGGAGGCCATTTACCCGATGTGCTATTCCATACATAACCCTATTCTGTATACTTTATGAATCAATAAAAAATTTACAATTTTTAATTATAAACCTGTGTTTTCTATCAAAATTACTTCTTGCGTGAATGTTGGGACACCCTATATATGCTGGCTACAAAAGACTTGCCTCAGCTTCAAGAACACATATAGACTCAAAGTGAAGAGATGGAAAAAATATTCCATGAAAGAATAAAGTAGAGATAGCTATAACAATCATAAATATATATGCACCAAACATCAGAGCACTTAAATATATTAAGCAAATACTAATAGATGGGAAAAACAGACCTCAATACAACATTAGGGAACTTCAATATCCCATTTTCAAAAATAGATAGATCATATAAACATAAAATGAAGAAAATGTTGGATTTGAACCATACATACTTCAGAGCAAATGGAACAAATGCTGAGCATTCCATCCAACAGATGCAGAAGACACATTCTTCCCAAGCACACATGAAAACTTTTTCAGGACTAATCACATAATATTTCATAAAACAAGCTTTAGCAAATTTAAAGCTGAAATCATATCAAGTATCTTTTCTGACCAGAATGGTAGAAACTAGAAATCAGTAACACAGAAAATTGAAAAATCACAAAATGTGGAGATTAAACAAAATGCTAATGCTTTGAAACTAACAAAAATGGAAGCACAACATATTAAAACCAACTGAATGCTGCAAAAGCATTTCTAAGAAAGCTACAACAATAAATCCCTATATTAAGAAACAAAAAAGATCTCAAATAATCAACCTCACTATACACCTCAGAGGACTAGAAAAAGAAAAACTAAGCCCAAACAAGCATAAGGAAGGAAACTAAATAAAGATCAGAGGAGAAATAAATGGAAAAGATCAATGAAATTAAGAGTTGGAGTTTCTGAAGAGAAAAAAAATTGCCCAACATTTAGCTAAACTTCCTCAGAAAAAAAGAGGACTCAAATAAAATTAGAACTAAAAGGATATTATAAATTGATACCACAGAATACAAAGGATCATGAGAAGCTAGTATGAACAATTATATGCCAACAAACTAAACAACCAAGAAGAAATGGATGAATTCATAGCAACATACAAGTATGACTAAATCACGAAGAAATGTAAAATATTAACAGACTGATTACTGCTATGAAGATTAAATCAGTAATCAAAAACCTCCCAAAATAGAAAATGCCAGAACCAGATTGTTTCATTGGTGAATACTACACCAAATATTTAAAGAAGAATCCATGCCAATCCTTCTCAAACCAATCTCTTCCAAAAAATGAAAAGGGAGGAAACCCTCTCAAATTCATTTTATGAGGCCAGCATTATACACATAACAAAGTCAGATGATACTGAATGGAGAGTATAGATGTAAAAATTCTCAGTAAAATATTACCAAGCCAAATTCAACAGCACATTAAAAAAAAGCATTCACCATGATCAAGTGGGATTTGTTCCTGGGATGCAAAACTGATTCAACATATGTAAATCAATAAATGTGATATACCACATTAACACAAAGAAATATAAAAATCACAAGATCTTCTCAATAGGTGGAAAAAAACTTTTTTTTCAAATACATGATAAAAAACAGAGTACAGAAGAAACATATCCAACCTCAATAAAAACCATATATAACAAACCCACAGCCAACATTATACTCAGTGATATACTAGTAAGGTTGAAAGCTTCTTCTCTAAGATCAAGGACAAGAGTAGGGTTAACATTTCACCACTCCTGTTCAAAAGAGTACTGGAAATCCTAGCCACAGCAATCAGGCACGAGAAAAAAAAAAAAAGTATCTCTTACCCTTTGAGACAACATGGAGGGACCTGTAAAGTATCATGCTAAGTGAAATAAGTCAGTCAGAGAAAGACAAGTATCACATGATTGCACTCATATGTGGAATCTAAGTTTTCATGAACAGAGTGGATCCAGAGATACAGAAGCATGGAACAGAGTGCGGAATCTCAGAGGGAAGGCGGGGGAGGGTGGATGGGTGGGAGATAATCAACCAAAGACCTGTATGCATATATGCAGAACCCATGGACACAGACAATAGAGTGCTGAAGGCCTGGGGCGGGGAGCGGGGGCAGGCTGGGGTAGGGGAGGGGGGGAGGGGACATTATGTAATACTTTCATCAATAAAGAATTTTATAGATAAGTAGAATTATAAATTTCAAAAAAGAGTATATAAAATATCAATCTATACACTAACAAGTTCCACATAAATTGACTATTACTATATATTGACTATTATAAATAAAATAAAAACACTTAAAATTTACCTGCATTGCACTTTTCCCCAGTTTCACCACTTCAAATAATGTGACAGGCTCCCCTTCACCATTCTGTTGAGGGTGCCCATTAGCTCTTCCACGGCCTGTTCCTCTAATTCCAGCTTCAATTCTACTCTTCTCTCCTGGAGATTTTCGAGGTTTCTTATTTGTAGACTGAATAAAAAGATGAAGAAAAAAAATAAATGCAGGCATACTTTGCTTTAGGCAGAATGATCTCAAATTATGTTTAATCCTGTGAAAGGTAGTTAGCACTATACGACTAAAGGCAAGAAACATAATCTAACCATAGGAAGATTTACAATTGTTTTCAGTGATAAAAGCACAAGTTAATTTAGAAAGGCATGAAAATAAAGTTAAAGAAAAAGGATTTAGTATTTTGTACAACAATAATGCCAACGTTGAACATTTTAACCATGTCCCCTCTTGACATATCCTTCTTTGTACCCTCCTCAATACTCTCCTTCTTCAGAAACCCTGCTCAATAAAACTACTTGGAAATAGTGTATATTTGACTTCTACTTAAGTGCACAAGTATTTCTTAGCCACTCATGCAACAACTATACATTTGAACATATTTGGAACCACTCTAGGTACTGGAAATATGGAAATAAGCAAAGTAAACATTCCTGCCTTGCTGGAGTTTACAAACTTCAATTAACATCCCATCTCATGCCCCAAGTTTTCAAATTTTTAAAATTGATTTTAGAGAGAGGGAAAGCAGAGAGTAGGGGAGGGGAGAGAGGGAGAGAAAGGAAAAGATGGAGGGAAACATCGATCTGTTGCCCCACCCATCCATGCATTCATTATTTGGTTGATTCCTGTGTGCTCTGACGGGGGATCAAACCTGCAACCTTGGTATATCATTGATTCTTGTATGTGCTCTGCAACCTTGGAGGACACTCAAACCAACTGAGCTACCTGGCTAGGGCTCATGTCACCAGTTTAAAAAAAAAAATCAACACTAACTACCACCTTACCTATGAATTGCTTGCACTTGCTGTTATTATTCGCATAAATTTCATTTATATATAAACGCATCATGATTGCTGCTTTGCCAAACTTACCTATGAAATTAATGTTGTTAATTGTAATAAATATTTCTGGAAACTCTCAACAGGCCTCATGATATCTTCCTTTCATTTCAGATACCTTCTCCCTCCCTATATTCCTTATCTGTTTAGTGTTACCTTAGGTCTCTCTTGAGCAAGCATGTCAAACTCGCGGCCCACAACGAATATTTTTGCGGCCCAGCCAATATAACAGTATGTAAGAAACATTTCAATAAAGATTTCGTAACTTAATTTTTACAAATCCTGTTATATATAATTATTAATAACGAACAATGTTCAATAATACTGATTACCATAATAGTGTTGCATTCATTTTCCTTACGCACCTTATGAGCAGGCGCACCATTTCTCTCCACTAATACTAGCAGCAAGTATTTTAGCAGCCAATTGCTAATTATTAAAATGTTCTCTTATTTTATGTTAACAATTACTCATTTATTTCAGCCCTTTGTATTCAGCATGTCTCTATCGAAATAAACCTATGTTTCTATGAAAATTGAAGCTTTTGTTTTTTTGCAGCCCACATAAACTTAAACCTTGTTTATTTGGCCCGTGTTAGCCTTTGAGTTTGACATGCTTGCTCTTGAGCATCTGTTCTCAGTATTTATATTCTTTTGAGTGACTTATTTTCCTAATAGCTTGTTCAGTTATTAATTTATTGCCCTTCACCTCCAAATCCACCCTTATTTGTCCCACTTTGTGATGCTGGAGCTGAACCCTGTAAACATTTATCTTTTGCCATCTGCTGCAGTGTTAGGCTTTCTTAACTAGAGGGCACTGGAGGAATACTAGAAAGCGTGTAGCATGGAGGGGCTTCTCTCCCAGCTTACAGTATTGTTCCCTTCATTTTATATTCCTGTGTTCTTAGTACACTTTCACTCCTTTTAATAAATAGCCTTACAACCACTTTTGTGTGTGGATTTATACATAGTGAGCTTACTGCTTATTTAATTATATTATTTAGAAGTTTTATATTTACCCCTCAAAATGGTGAAGACAGTACAGAGAATTCCCATATACATCACATCTAGTTACCATTTGTCTGATACATTTGCTACAATTTAATGAACCAATATTGGTACATTAACAAAAGTCCATACTTCAGACTTCCTTAGTTTCTGCCTAATGACCTTTTTCATTTTAAGGACTCCACCCAGAATATATAAACTACTCTTGGCTGTGACGGTTTTTAGATTTGCCTGATTTTTGGTGACCTTGACAGTTTTGAGAAATTACTGGTCAAGTATTTTGCACAATGCTTCCCAACTGGGTTTGTCTCTTGTTTTTCCCATGACTAGACTGGAACTGTAGGTTTGGGATGATCTGAGAGATGAAGTGTTACTTTTAAGTTCCTCATCATTATCAACACAATTTTTGGTAATTAGGCATAAAGTGATTATACACACTCACATGCAAGGCTTTGTGTGGATGTTATTTTCAAAGCAGTATAAACACTTAGAAGGATGATTACTGAATAATACGGTAAAATTATTTTTAGCTTTGTATGAAACTGCAAAACTACCTTCCAAAATGGCTGTACCATTTTGTTTATCCACCAGCAAAAAATAAGAGTTCCTGTTCCTTCACATGCTTGCCATGAAATTGTTAATAGTCAGGTTTTAAATTTCAGCCATTCTAACAGATGTGTAATGGTATCTTTCTTAATTTGCAATTCCCGAATGACATATCATTCATTCCTATATGTCCTTCCAGAGACATTTAAACATAATAAAAAAATGCAAAAGTAAAATTTTTAAAAGGCATAAATAAATGGAAACCCTATCACATGTACATAAATTGGAAGACTCAGTATTGTTAAGATGTCAATAGTACCCAAAGCGATCAACAGATTCAATGAAATATCTATCAAAATCCCAATGACCTTTTTGGAGAAATAGAAAAAAAAAATTTTATTTAATAGAAAATCTCAAAGGATGTTGAGTAGCCAAAACAATCTTGAATAAAGAACAACACTGAAAGACACACATTTTCTGATCGCAAAACTTACTACAAAGCTATAGTAATCAAAACTGTAGTGCTAACATAAAGGCAAGCCTACCAATTGAAAAGAATAGAGACCCAAGAAATAAACCCTCACATACATGGTTAAATACTTTTTGACAAGAGTACCAACACTATATGTGACACGGCACCAGAGTTAAGTTAGGGTTTTTCAAAATGCTGACACGCCGAGCTCAAAAGGTTCGCCATCACTGGAATAGGAGAACGTATTTGCAAATCATGTATCTGATACGAAATCAATACCCAGAATATATAAAAGCCTCTTAAAACAACAAAACAACATATCTGAAAATGGTTAAAGGACTCATTTGAATAGACATTTCTCCAGGGAAGATAAACAAATGGCCAATAGGCACATGAAAAGATGCTCAATATCACTAATCAATGGAGAAATGAAAATCAAAACTACAATGAGATGCCACCTTATACCTACAGGGGGCTATTATCAAAAAAAGAGAAACCAAGTCTTGGCAGGTGGCTACTACCAAAAAAAGAATATAAGTCTTGGGGAGGATTTAGAAAAATTGCAATTCTTGTGCACTGTTGCTGAAAATGTAAAATATGGTACAGCTATTGTGGATAATAGTATGGCTGTTCCTCAAAATATTAACAATAGAATTCCATGTGATCCAGCAATTTATACATCTGGATATATATCTAAAAGAACTGAAAGCAGAGTCTCAAAAGATATCTATAGAACCATGCTCATAGCAACATTGTTCATAATAGCTAAAACTTGGAAGCAATCCATTGGTGGATGGATAACCAAATGTGCTATACATGTACACTGGAATGTTAATTCAGTCTTAAAATGGAAGAAAATTCTGACATATGGTACAACATGGATGAACTTCGAGGATATTATGCTAAATGATGTAAGTTAGTAACAAGAAGACAAATACTGCATGATTCCACTTATATCAGATACTTAGTCAAAATCAGAGTCAACAAGTGGAATGGTGATTGCCAGAGACCAAGGGGAGGAAAGAATGGGGAGTTAAAGATGGATGGTGGTAATGACTGCACAACATTATGAATATATTTCATACAACTGAACTGTACACTTAAAAATGATTAAGTTGGTTAAATCTTACATGTATTTCAACAATAAAAATATTGAGAAAAAAACTAAAAGAACTGCAAGCAGGGTCTCAAAAGATATCTTATGCACAGATTGCATCATCCTATTTTCATTATCAATATATTTTGTAGTCAATTTCAATCAAGATCTAGAAAACATCTTATTTTCTAAAAGCTACAATGCTCCACAGCAGAGATGTATGTTACTTTACTTAGCCATTAATCTGTTGATGGACATTTATTTTATTTGGGATCTTCTATTATTACAAATAATAATACAACAAATAAGCCTGTGTATGTTTAGGAATATTTGTGTGTGTAAAAGTAAAATACCCATAATTCTCACACTCAAAAGCCTTTTAGCACTGGTTATAAATATGGCAAAAAATATAGATAAAAAAAACCCATTTGATCTTATCTAGGTTCTATCCATATTTTCCCCCATTATCAGAAGGATGATTTTCCTAGTACAGATCTAGACAGTAATATATAGTAACTAGTGGCCTGGTGCACGAATTGGTGCACATCGAAAGGCAATTAGAAAAATACTTTAATATCGCTATTTGCCCTTTATAATAGATAATAGAAGTGTCAGAGATGAAAGAAAATTAGCAAAATGTGTATGTAAATAATATTTAAATTGACTAATAAATAACACATGATATAACAACAAAGATATGATATAAAAACAACACTGATAAAAACAGTGACTGTTACATTGATTAAACTTATTCTAATATCTCTTTGTATACCACAGTAAGAGTAAAAAACACTTTCAGAGTGCTTGACTAATTTCCCTTGTGATGAAGTATTTACACCTTTAATATCACATGCTCTTCGAACTTGAGAGAAAGCAACATATAACTGACCATGTCTGAAAATGGATTCAGGTAGGAATATTCCTACTGTCTAGATTGGCGCCAGCGGGAGGTTTATATGTATCGCACATGTTTGAGTCAATGTTTATTTTTAAATTGCCAG